TTTTCCACACCCTTACTTAAAGTTAGAAATTTTTCCGACATGGTTTCAAACAGGCTAGGGGATGAAGGAAATCTGTACTTTTGGTTCTCAAGATGGATTGGGAACTTCACACTATGATCTCTGTTCCCTGGAATTTGGTGTATATGTGAAAGGAAATATGGATTGGTTAAAGATTTTGGAATGTGGGATGTAAATTCATGGTGCTGACAGCTGTACTTTAATATAGGAAACGATGATACTGACATACAAATGGAGCTGTCTAAGTTGTCTTTGTTGCTATTGGAAATTTCACCTTATAGAATTTGATTCCTCATTACAATTTGTGTGTCTTTGTATATTTGAGGATATTTAATGATAATCAAGTTTTCTTTTTCTTCTGATTTCTCATTTTGATATCAAATATTTATGATATTCATACAAATATTTAATAGGAATTAAGTCTCTTCTGATTTCTGTGTCTATGACTATTCATTTAATGGAAATTAAGTCTTTTCTGATTTCTCTGTCGACTTCTGTATATGAGATCAACTATTTATGATTATTTATTTAATGGAAATTAAGTTTATTTAATGAGAATCAAGTCTCTGATCTCTCTATTTGATATGAATCATCTATGACACCATTTATGGTCATTAGTAATCTATGACACCATTTATGATCATTAGTAATTATGTCTTTTTTGACTTTTTTTTTTTTTAATAATGGAAATGAATGTTAAAATGGGAGTTTTTACTGTGCTACCCTATTTTGAAAAAAAATACCATAATACTCTCTTTTAAAATTTTTTTTTACCAATGTACCCTACTTTCATCACGTGCTCGCCCTTTGAAGTGACGAGTTTGTGCAAATTTTTTTTGAGCTTATGAGTTCGCCCATTGGACTGGCGTGCATGTGACATAATTTTTGGCTCAGTATGAGCTCGTCCATTGGAAGGACGAGCTTGTACACGTATTTATTTTTTTTGTGTTTTATTTATTTATTATAATTAATATATTTTTTAATACATAAATTGATAAATTATATAATTTTTATTATAAATAATAATAAAAATTAAATAATGTTAATAATTATTAAAAAATTAAATTATTAAATACTCATTAATAAATATAAATTAATAATTTTAATTTATATTATAAATTAATAATAATTTTAATAAATTAATAACAATAATAAATTAATAATTTTAATTTTAATAAATAATGTAATTTAAATCTTATTAAAAAGTAATTTAGCATTAAACTATTTTACAACAAGTTAAAATAATATTTTTGGTGACAGTGATGACGAAGACAATGAAGATATGGATGTACCAAATTATGAGATCGTGTATTAATTCCAAATTACTCCTCTAAACATTTTAAATTAATTTTTGTGTTTTTATTTATCTATTTATTATTAAACCTTTATTTGTCTAAAATAATTAGTCTAATCATTAATAATATGGGAAGAGGGCGAGGGCGAGGGCGGCCGCCGAAGAACACGGTGCCTCCGCCAACAAAACCCCCACTGATGTCACCTCCAAAACAACAATCAGAACTGAGAAGCCATCAAGAAAGCAACAGTAGATTAATTGAAGAAGAGATTCTGGAAATTGAAACCCTGGATGAACGTCCTGGTAAACCTAATCAAGAAGAAATAGAAACCGCCACTCAATCGAATGATGCCTTACTAGATGCGGTTCCTAAGAAATTTGAGACTGGAAAACCTATTCATGAAGGAGCCTCTGAGGAAGGTCGCAAACTATGGGTAGATGTGCTAAAGGATAATAGAAATCCGACGAAGGGCAGAGCGATGAAATTCATCGCACCCCAAGTCGTGAATGGGAAACTTGAAGTTGTAATTGAAGAAGATGATATTATCTCTGAAGTCAAATTTTGGGAATCCTCTTTGATTCTTTATGCAATGGGAGTTGACCTAAGCATGAATGCGGTTAAGAATTTCATGACCAAGAATTGGAACTTTGTTCAATTGTCGGATATGTATTACAATGATGAAGGTTATTTTTGAAGGTGAGATAATACTTAGAAGGGGGGGGGGGGTTGAATAAGTATGATAAATTAAGACTTAAAAAATAATCACACAATTATTTTTATCCTGGTTCGTTTAACAACTACTCCAGTCCACCCTTCCTAGAGTGATTTGCCTTTCTCAACAAGGACTTAATCCACTATTAAATCAAACTGATTACAATAGTAACACCTAAGAACAACAGTTCTTAGTCTTCTCAAGAGCTACTGATTCCAACTGAATCCTCTTAAGGAATATCCTTTACAATCAATGTAAATTAAATACAAGAGTATTAATGCTTCTATAAAGCTTTTATCACAACAGTGATTTTTCTCTTAAGTTTAAGTACAATAAATTCTAAGAAGAATAAGAATGAATGAAAACTTTAGAATATAATGATTTCTTTTCAGCAAAGAGTGTAACTGAAGAATGTGGTGAAGTTCTCCTTTTATAGGCAGCTGATCCATGCAAGCTGAGCGTTGAAAAGAGAGTCCCAAAAGGTCTGAGCCTTTTTGTCTTCACATCAATTGACCTTTCCTAGAAGTAGATGGCACAGAAAAATCCTTTTTGTCTGTGTAAGTGTGTCTAGCACAAATGAGGAAAGAGACGTTGAATAGCTCCAACGGATATATTCTTGAATATTTCTTCTTCAGTTTTCAGCAAGTTCTTCAGAGTCTGAATGGATCAGAGTCTTCTAATGAGATTCAGAACTATGCTGTATCAGAGTCTTCTGCAGCATGTGTGCTTTCAGCGTGTTGATCATCAGAGCATATTTGACACAGAGCTTCAGTACTAGGCAGCGTAGGTACTTTCAGAAACTTCTGTAGATAAATGCTTTGAGAAACTCTTCAATAAATATTCTTCTATGCTTCAGATGCTTCAGCTTCAGATGCTTCTGATTATCTTCAGATGCTTCTGATTATCTTCAGATGCTTCTGACTCAGAATGTTCTGGAGCTTCTTTCTTCAGATCCTTCTGGAGACAACGCTCAGGATCTTCTGTAAGGAGCAAACAGATTCTTCTGTAAGGTGCATCTGGCGCTTCAGAGTCAGAATAACTTCTTGTATTCAAAACAGATTTGCTTCTAGAGAGTTAATATTATTTCAATCTGCAGTAAAACTCTCAAACAAATTTTAGAGTATATAATTCTTAAATATAAATTTCCTAACAGTTATCATCAAAACAAAGAGTTATTATTAAGAACCAATCTGTGTTCTAACAATTTTATCCTTCGATTCAAGTCATTCAAGGACCGAGATGAAGTTTTGCTGAGAGGACCATACATGATAAGAAACATTCCTCTGTTGACTCGTGAATGGAGGCCAGGTTTCAAGGTCAAAGATGAACTTCTGCAAACTCTACCTATTTGGGTGAAACTGCCTCAACTACCCATCATTCTGTGGGGTGATACAAGTTTAAACAAGATAGGAAGCGCTCTTGGAAACCCCATCATGACAGATGAATGTACGGCAAACAGACTCCGAGTATCCTATGCGCGAATACTTGTGGAAATGGATATTACAAAAGAACTTCCACAAACAATTACCATTGGTGATAATGAAGGAGAAAAGATCCAACAAGCTATTGAGTATGAATGGAGACCCCTGTTCTGCAGTAATTGTCAAAAGGTTGGCCATAGTTGTGACAAACCTAAAGTGACACAACAATGGAAACCTAAACCTGCACCACAACATACAGGTAATGTGAAAACTGTGATGGACAACACTGTTGAAAGCATTCCTAGGACTGTAGGAAACAACAACATTGCAGGTAACAAGGTTATTACTGATATTGCTAGTTCCCCTGCTGTGATTAACACTGTTAAGGGTAATACCTTAGCTGAGATTTCCACTGACCTGGTTAGTAAGGCTGCTGATCCACCTCCAGAAAATGAAGTTAACCTAATTGAGCAGTTATGGAAAATTGGATAGAAGTTATTAGAAGTGGTAAGGATATAGGCAAACAAAAAGTTAACCCCGACAGTGTAAACAAGATTGTTTGTGATAATGGATTTGAGGCTCTTGAGATTTCGAAGGATCTTATAGAGTCTCAAAATACTGGCCAATGATTACATCTTGGAACGTGAGGGGGCTGAATAAATTGGGGAAGTTAAAGGAGATTAGCTCCCGTCTCTTTAATCTTCACCCTAAGATTGCAATCTTACTAGAGACAAGAGTTAAGCATGACAAGGCAAGAAAAATCAGAGATCAGCTTAACCTCAAAGGCCAATATCTTGACAATTACAAAGAACATTACAATGGCAGAATTTGGATCTACTGGGATGAGAGACAATGTGATGTCAGAGTGATAAAATGCACATCACAGATGATACACTGTGGTATCCATGATGTAAATGGAGTATTTCAAACTTGGATGACAGTTATCTATGCGCTGAACCAACTTGAGCAAAGAAGGAAACTATGGGAAGACTTGAAACAAATTCATGACAGCCAACAGGGCCCTTGGTTCCTTATGGGCGATTTCAACAATGTAACTAAATCTATGGACAGAATAGGTGGGAACTTGGTGACTGAAAGAGAGTTTAAAGATCTCAGAAGCTTGATGGATCATGCTGGCTTGTTTGAGAAGGATAGCACAGGAGACTATTTTACCTGGACAAATAAACACTCTATAGGTACCATTTATTCAAAAATTGACCATGTTCTTGGTAATATAGACTGGCTGCAGGATAATATTGATTTGAAGCTGGAGATTCTCCCTCCTAGTATCTCTGATCACTGCCTTTTAGGCTTGAATGCTGAGAAGATTAACAGAGCAGTACACAAAAAATTCAAATTTACAAATAGTATGATGAAGATAGCAGATTATCATGACACTGTCAAACAAAACTGGAACAAAGAGATTACTGGCAGATCCATGGCTAGACTGTGGTATAAACTGATGAGATTTCAAGCTCCCCTAAGTAGACTGAGAAAACAGATTATCATGACACTGTCAAACAAAACTGGAACAAAGAGATTACTGGCAGATCCATGGCTAGACTGTGGTATAAACTGATGAGATTGCAAGCTCCCCTAAGTAGACTGAGAAAACAGTTTTCAAACCTCCAGCAGACCATTGTCCAAGCAAGGAATGATTTATTACAAACCCAGGAAAGTCTCATAATGGACAGAATGAATACTGAGTTCATTGAGAAAGTTAAAACCTGTACTGATGAATTGACCCATCTGCAAGAACTTCAGGACCAAATGTTGAGACAGAGGACAAAGATTAATTGGCTTAGAGAAGGCGATACGAATTCATCTTTCTTCTATGCTTACCTCAAATCTAGGACTACAACAACAAATATTAGCCAACTCTATAAAGATGATGGTACCTGTATTCACAACCAGGAAGACATAGAAAAAGAGGTGTGTGAGTTTTATGGAAAATTGATGGGCACAAGGGAACCTAGAATAAATATGATTGATATTGTCATGAGGGAGGGGCCTCAACTGTCCATGGAACAAAGAGCTGGTCTAATTTCACCAGTGTCTGTTACTGAAATCACTAATGCCTTAAAAGGGATAGGTGACCTTAAGAGCCCAGGTATAGATGGTTACGGAGGAAAATTTTTCAAAGCCAGCTGGGAGATTGTTGATAAAGATGTTATTGAAGCTGTTACAGAATTCTTTGAGCAGAATGTGATTTATAAAGCTTTCAATGAAACAATTGCTACTCTTATTCCTAAACAGCCGGATGCCAAAACCTTGAAAGATTACAGGCCAATTGTTGGATGCTCAACAATCTACAAAATCATATCCAAGATCCTCACAACCAGACTTGGGAAGGTGTTGGGTAACATCATCAGTAAAGCGCAGGCAGCCTTTGTTCCAGGTCAGAAAATCCATTCTCACATCCTACTAGCTATGGAACTTTTAAAAGGTTATAATAGGAATACTGGTACTCCTAGATGCATGGTACAATTAGATCTCCAAAAAGCTTATGACATGGTTGATTGGGGTGCTCTTGAAAATATTCTTAGTGAAGTAGGATTACCTAAGAAATTTGTTGATTGGATTATGACCACCGTGACTACAGTTTCTTATAGATTTAATATCAATGGCAAGTATACTGATAAGATCAATGCTAGAAGAGGTATTAGGCAAGGGGACCCCTTATCCCCTTTCCTGTTTGTAATAATTATGGAATATCTCAGCAGATTACTTTTCAGAATGCAAAAGAATCCTGATTTCAACCACCATGTTAAATGTGAAAGGCTGCAAATCACCCACTTAACCTTTGCTGATGACCTCTTGCTGTTCTCTAGAGGTGATCATATGTCCATGGATATTCTACAATTAACTTTGAACAAGTTTCTGGATTCTACAGGTTTGAAAATAAACCCTTCTAAGAGTAGGGTGTATTTTGGTAATGTTTCCGAAAATGTCAAATGTGCCATCCTCCAGCTAACCTCCTACAAAGAAGGGTCTTTCCCCTTTAGATACCTTGGTATTCAGGTGACTAGTAAGCGTCTTGCTGTTATCCATTACATGCCGTTATTGGACAGGTTATTAAGTAGGATAACTCACTGGAGTTCTAGATTGCTGAGTTATGCAGGTAGGCTGCAACTCATCAAGAGTGTGCTCTATGCCATCACAACCTATTGAATGCAATGTATTTGGTTTCCAAAAACTGTGATCAACAAGATCAATGCAATCTGTCGGTCTTTTCTCTGGACAAGTGGTAATATTATCAGTAGGAAAAGTCCAATAGCGTGGGATAATGTTTGTAAACCACATGTGAAAGGCAGACTAAATGTGATGAATTTGGAAATTTGGAATAGTATGCTTATGATAAAACTTCTCTGGAATACCTATGCAAAATCTGATGATTTATGGGTTCGCTGGATACATGCTTATTACTTAAGACATGAAGGTATTCTGACTAGAATTGTTAAGGGATCGGACTCTGGAATTTTCAAAGCAATTCTAATACAAAGGGACAATCTAGTGACTATACAGAGTACATGGAATGATATGCTGCAGACAGGTAAATTCCATGGGAGAAAAGTGTATCAAAGCCTTCTACCTATTACTCCTAATGTTGCATGGGCCAAATTAAATCTTCACAATAGAGCTAGACCCCGTGCAATTATTACTCTTTGGATGATTTGCCATGACAAGTTAGCTACCAAGTCTAGACTTTTCAGATTTGGAATGCTCAATAATAACAAGTGTGTTTTTTTTGCAATGAAGAGGAAACCATTGATCACTTATTTTGTTGTTGTTTGGAATTGAAGCAAATCTGGATTGGTATTCTTCAGTAGATGGGTATTCAACACAGTCCAAAAAGATGGAAAGAGAAAATGCGATGGGCTCTAAGAAATTATGGTGGGAAAGGCTGGAAATCTGATCTGTTTAGGCTTGCCCTTACAGAAACTCTTCATGAGATCTGCCTTTCTAGAAATGAATCTTGTTTTAATCAAAGAACTGATAAAAGGAAGTGCCTAGATAGAATTATAAACAACATAATGTATAGAGGGTGGACTAGTCCTAAGCTTAGACCACATATAGCTAGGTTGATTTTACTTTAAATTAGTTTTGTTTGTTTGTTGGCTGGATCCTCTGCCTTGTTTTGTACTGTTTTTTTTGAGTTAATGTCAAATTTCTTGATTAAAAAAAAATTAGTCTAATCAATATTATAAAATGTTATAAATTAAAAAGAAATTTTAAATTCGGTCATTGTTATAAATAAAAGTTAATCATAATTTAACTATAATACTAATATTCTTATGTATCTTTTTTTGACTAAAAAAATATAGTTAAATGACACTTTATATTAAATATTAATAAATAAAAAATTAATTAAATTTATCTTTTATCTGAAATAAAAAATTAATATATTTAATTAACATTTTACACTCTAGCTTTTGATATCATGTGATTTTTTGAGCTAAAAGGGTCACATTCGTAAAGAATAATTCAAACTTTTAAAAACTTTGACTTATTTTATTGATGAAAGTAAAGCAGCCATTGGAACAGAAAACAAAACATAGTCCTCCAACAAAACAACTCACCCCCACCCATAGCATCTTCAATCAAATGAATATATTCTATGGATTCTCTTCACTATAAATTATGTCCACTTCTGCTTCTCATTATCCATAACCTATCTTCTCATTCTTTTACAATTACACCTTTCAATATGGAATGCTGTATAATCAATAGGCTCAAAATTCAACCTTTATGGTTCGTCTTTGTCTTTCTTGTAGGCTTATTCACCATTCTAAGGTTTTCTTTTGTTTATTTCAAATGCTTCTATGCCAAATTTCTCAAAGCTCCCAAAAAGCTCAAAGATTGATGAACGAAGGGCTTGCGGAGGTCCAGTGAAACTGTTTACAATATTTTTTTATGAATTGCTTTTGTTTCTCTATTTACAATTACAATTTGTAATTTCTTCATTTTACTTATTTTATTGATCATCTTTGTGATCACTTTGTCTATTATCAATACATAAGTTATGTGAGTCAGTATCTATAATTTTTAATCTAAACTATAAATGTATAATTCAATAATAAAAATTATGCGACAAGGGAAATTTTATCATTTAATATATTTTTTACCGTGTTACTGTATCAATTTTTTCTTGTAATATATGAACTAAACATGTCATGTAATAAAATATAGATTTATTACATTATTATTTTATTATATATATATATATATATATATATATATATATATATATATATATATATATATATATATATATATATATATATATATATATATATATATATATATATATATATATATATTTATCATTTTGTTTATATCATATTTTGTGCATCAAATAAAACTTTATAATATAAAGAGAAATTATAAATAAAAAATAAAATTGAAATAAATAAAATATGAAAGAGAGAATGTCAAGAAGGAGCATCCGATTTTGCATTTAAAGTTGGATAGCTTGTATATTATAAGGTTTAATCAACCAGCTAATATTTAATGCATGTTATTTGAAATTGGAAAATAAATCGATTAACCGATAATAATAAAATTGTGTTTCCACGTTTAAGTATAAATTTATCATGGTTGGTTAATTGTTTCTCTAAATGTTTGATACAATGGGTATATTTTTCTTATATAAAATAACAAAATAACAACTTACAACTTCAACTAATAATTTGTGTAAAAATAACATCATCTAACAATATTGACCAAAAGACATAGTTTAGAATATTCATTTAGTGGCAAAACCGGGTCACTACAACAAATAAAATTTTTTTATGACGAAACTAACACTTCAAACAATAGAAAAATGAGGTATAAATATTAGGAGTGTCAACTTTTACTTTTTTTTTTTAATAAACAACCATTTTTTTTTAAGTAAAGCGATAGAAAAAATATATAAAGGATTTCGTTAGTATTTCTCACTTGACGTCTTTCCAAGTTTTATTTTTATCATTATTGTTTTTTTATTAGTATTAACCTCGACTACATGGTCCAACTGAGAGGTAATATATTTTGCATTAATCAATTTCAAAATACTATTTTTAAAATTTTATTTTAATTTTTTATTTGATATGTTCAAACCCCTCGGTTATACAGAAAAACTGATGTTATATATCTTTTAATTGTATTTCCAAAATATGACGCAATTGTGTTGTTTATATTTGATATTTTTAATTTATATTGTCACGTCGGATTTTATATAAAACTGACGTGACACATTTATTGCATGAGATACTTCAGACTACAATCTAGCTAGTTTCTAACTTTTCATTTACTTATCAGCGCTCAAACGTCATTTCGTCACTCTCATTTTGCAAAAATCCTAGGCGATTTTCAAGTTGATATTCATCAAAACTCTTCCAACAAATATTCATCAAACGTTATTTTCGCAACAGGTTTGTTCTTCACTGAAACGAGAGTTATATCACTTTGTTTTCCATTGATCATTTTGTCTAGAATTTTATGTTAGTTTGTCTTTTGATCATTTTATTTCTATGATTTTCTATTTGTTTTTATTGAAACATTAGTTAGTATTGTTTCTCTTGATCATTTTGGGGTTTCTTTAGATAGTCATTTCGTCAATAGATATCATTTTTCAACATGTTTGTTCTTCACTGAAATGAGTTATATATCACCGAAATGAGTTTATATCATTTTGTTTTTCACTATTTTTCTTTTGATCATTTTGTTTCTACATATTTGTCTCTTGATAGTCATAGCTAATTCTGCAAGCACCTCCCATACAACATCTGCAACAACATCTGTTAATACAAATTATAGAAGAAAAACTAGAGGTGCCACGATACATACCAAGGTGAAAAAAGCCCAAGAAACTGGTGTTCGATACCCAGTTACATTTGATATTGTAACCGGTAGGGCTTATGGTGAACACGCTGACGATTTTATGGGTTACATCGCGTTACAATGTAGAAGTAAACTGAGCATTTTGATAGATAGTTGGTACGATATTATAATTTGTTTGCAAGTATATATGATCGTTTGTTTTTTATTTAAACATAGAATGTGTTCATTGTTACTAATAACATCTCTATTGTATAAACATAAGATGTGTTCATTATTAGTCCATATAATGATAATGTGAAAAAGAAGATACTTACATATTGTGGTGAGCGTTGGAGGGGCTTTAAGACATAGTTCACCCATGATTATATTAAACATGGAGAAAATAAATTAAAAAAAGCCTCCATATGATGTGTACTCATTTATTGATCAAGATGTTTTGGAGAAATTTGTAGATTCTCGCACCACTCCTGCCTTCTTGGCAGAGAGCCAAAAAAGAAAGGAAAATCGAGCTAGAAATATCTATCCATATAGATAGTCCCGTGGAGGATATCGAAAACTTGAAAAGACGATGATCGAAGAAAGAAGAAAATAAAGGGAGGTAGAGTTGAGAGGTTCTATAAGTCTTGATCGCACTCCATCTCCACCACCACACCACGAGAATCAGAAGATGACACGTTAAAGAAAAGAAAGTGAGTTCACATCAGATGCTACACACGAAGTGGCTCAAAGGATTGTGAGTAGATACTTTTTTCAACAATATTTATTTTAGTTAAATCAATTTGTTAAAGATGAAATTTCATATGTGTTGTAGGATGATCTGGTTGAACAAATCGAAGTTGGCCTCTTCACTTCACAAGATCGTCATGACATCTTGGTATAAGCGATTGGGATCGAGGAGCATCCAGGGCGTGTCTGTGGTGTTGGAAGAGGCGTTTTCTTTAATGTATTTTTTGGACCATCTAAATTATCTAGTGGGAAAACCCGTAAGAGAGAGAGATTAAAGAGATTGTTATTGTTGAGTTGGAGAAGAAAAGGGAGAAGCATGATAGGAAATTGGAGGAGGATAGGAAGTAATTTGAGTAGGAAAGGAAGAGGTGGAGGGAGGAGCGGGATAGAAAGTTGGAGGAGGATAGGAAGAAGTTTGAGGAGGAGAAGAAGAGATAAAGGGAGGAGCAGGATAGGAAGTTGGAGACGAAGAGGTAGAGGTTGTTGCAGATGGTGCGAGAGTGTCCAAAAGCAGCAGTAAGAGCGAGAGAGGATGACTGAGGTGAAGGTGTCCGAGAAGTGTACATGCGATGCGCTTGAGATATAAGTTGTATGATTTTGTTATTATTGTTTGTGTATTTTAA